GGCGAATCACCTCTTCTACCGCCTGTAACGCCGTCTCGTTGACTTTCTCCATTTCTGTGGAAGAGAGAGAAACATCAATTAGTACTTGCTCGGAAATTGTCGCGTTTCGCGCCGTGTCCGCTTCGCTCGTTTTGTACGGTTTCAAATCGCCTACGTCTACTTTCGGGTTCTTTCGACTGTTCGGCATTTCTAACACATACACCGTCGGCGAGAGTACCTCGGCGACTTTAAAGGGCCCGTCGTAGTCTTGCGCGAGTTTTCTCGCGAAGTTGGCGGGGCCGCTCGACAGGTAATGCGCCTTGCGGAGTACGAGATCGCCGACCTCGAAACGAACATCTCTACGGCCTTCGTTATAGTGTCTCGCCTGTCGCGCGTGAGCTTTCTCGACGTTGTCCGCGACTAAATCGTAAATCGCATTGACTCGTTTCACGCGATCAAGCCACACGCTCTCGTCGATTCGCCAATCGTTTATCTTACGCCGCTCGACTTCGCTACGGAAAGTATTCGCCCGGCGCGGGTGTCTACCGAAGTTTAAGAAAGCCGGAGAGACTCGCGTTGACGACTGTACCGCCGTATTGATCGCGTAACGGAGCTCGTGCACGTGCACGTCCCAGTTACGGTGATCAGCGCCTACATAAGACTTTATCGTCGTTTTTATCGTACGGTTGGCGCGTTCGGTGGGATTCGTTCGAGCACAGTAGGGGGGTATCGTCGTGTGGTGAATACCGAACTCCTCGAGAGTTTTCGCGACGTCCTTGTTGATAAACTCGGTACCGTTGTCGGTGATCAACACCTCTGGGGTCCCCCAACGAAATACCACGAGCTCTTCGAGAGCGCTTATCACGGCCTTTGCCGTCGCCGCTCGCGCCGGCCGAATTTCGACCCATCGCGTGAACAAGTCGATTATTACAATCAGATACTTGTTCTGCGCCTTGCTCTTCGGAAACTCCATACAGTCCATCGCGATGACTGTCCACGGCTCTTCGAAAACGCGCTTCCCCATAAGCCCCTGCGGTCCGGTCTGCGCGGGCTTATATCGCTGGCACGTATCACAGATGCGGACGAACTCGTGCACATCGTGAAACATGCCTCGCCAGAAATATTCGCGCGCGACGCGTTCATAAGTTTTTTCTACGCCAAGGTGGCCGGAGCTTACGTCGCAATGTGCTTCGCGAAGCACGCGCTCGCGATGATTTTCCGGCACGACAAGCTTCCAACCCGCCGATTCGTTTGTGACCGGATCGAGGATGGCGTCGTACTTGTAGCGATACAACATACCGTTTCTCACGCACCAATTTCTCCATCGTTCTGGAGACGCCAACACTTCTTCGATGCGGGCCGCGTAGGCCTCATCATCGATGTCGCACACATTTATCGTACCTACGTTCGCGCTCTCGACCACGTCATCGTCCGGTTCTATCTCGCAAACGCGCGATAGCGCATCGGGCAGTTCGTTGTATTTGCCTTTCCGATGCACTACTTCGAAATCCCACTGCTGCATCTCGAGGGCCCAGCGCGCGAGTCGGCCTGTAGGTTCTTTCAAGTTCCTGAGGTACTGTAACGCGCTGTGGTCTGTGATCGCCACGAAGCGATACCCCTCGAGATACGGCCGCAGCTTCTTTATCGCCCACAGAAGCGCCAAACACTCCTTCTCAGACGTGTTATAATTTCGCTCTGCTGGCGTCAGCACCCGACTCACGTACACGATCGGATGTTCGCCGTCTTCGTGCATCTGAGTCAACACGCCACCGATCGCGACATCCGACGCGTCGCACTGTACGACGAACGGCTTTGAAAAGTCCGGCCTCGCCAATACGGGGGCCTCGGTTATCGCTTGCTTCAACGCCTCGAACGCGCTTTGATGCTCCCGTAACCACCGCCACTCGGCATCTTTATGCAGTAGCTCTAGCAGCGGCTTTTTCAAGTCCGAATCGTTCGGAATAAAGCGCGCGTACCAGCCTACCATGCCGAGGAAACGCCGTAACTCCTTCACGTTTGTCGGCGCCGGGTAGCGTAGCACCGGCTGTACTTTCTCCGGGTCAACGCGCAAGCCGTCGCTGTCGAGCACGTACCCGAGGTACTTGACTCGCGAGCAGCAGAAATCGCACTTCTTCCTGTTCACCGTAAGTCCCGCGTCGCGCAGCTTCGTCAGTACAAGCTCCAACCATTTCATGTGCTCGTCGAAGCTCTCCGTGACGATAATAATATCGTCGAGGTAGCCGAACACATGAGGCTCGAATTCCGGGCCAAACAAGGCGTCAATCAGCCGTTGAAACGAGGCTGGGGCATTGCAAAGGCCATACGGTAACCGCAGAAACTGATATAACCCGGACCCCGGTATCGCAAACGCCGTGAATTTCTTGCTCGACTCTTCCATCTTTATCTGGAAATACGCCGACTTCAAATCAATCGTCGTAATGTACCGCGCGCGACGCAACTTATCTAATATGTGATCGATATTCGGCACCGGATACGCGTCTTTTTTTGTGACCTTATTCAGATCGCGATAATCGATGCAAAACCGATTGCTACCGTCCGCCTTCTTCACGATAACCGGCGCGCTGCTCCAAGCAGAAGCCGAGCGCTCGATTACGCCGTCCGCCAGCATCTTATCTATCTCCGCGTGCGCGATCTCGAGCATTTTCGGTGACATGCGCCTCGGATGGTGCTTGATCGGCGCCGCGCCTTGCACATCAATATGATGCTCAGTGAGCGTCGTCAAGCCCAAGTTCGACGGCTTCGTCGCGAGCAACTTCTCGATCATCGCCTCCAACGCACGCTGCTGTTCGTCATTCAGCTCGCACAGACCCGCGCTCACGCATACATCGCCGTATTCGTCGCTGTCTTCGCACGAGCTGTTCTGCTCGAGCTCCGCGCAGCAGGCGACGCTTTCGCTCTTCCCGTACACACGCTCGAACACTTCACCGATCGCATGAATTTCTTTTACGCTCGCGACTGATAATCCCGCGCATTCCACGAAAATATCTAAGGCCGCGTCGTTCAGTGCATAAAAATCATGCCACGGTCCGCCACGCGCTCGCCACTGTTGTTAGCTCGTACACGTGTCAATCTGCCACAAATTTTTAAAATCTGCGCCGAGTGTAACATCGTCATCCCCGTATGACATCGCTCGCCAACGCATCGGCTCGACACGCCCGTCGATCTCTACCTGCACCGTCAGTGTGCCCATCGTCCGCGACAACACTGGCGTGAAGGGCATCTTTATATTCGTCGACGTCTCGTGCAACCGATCCTTCAACTTCTCCGCGACGCGAGGGCCGACTATCGTGACCTGCGCCCCGGTGTCATACATCGCTCGAAACACCTCGCCGTTGACGCGCACGTTGATGAAATCCCTATTCTCTCTCATCATCGCCGCGACTCTCTCCTCCTCGCGCGCCGCATGGCTGATCGGTGACTCACTGCAGTCGCCCGATGCTTGGTCAAGCGCTTGACCAAGCCATTGCAGCTGCTCGCCGAGAGGCATCTCGCTCACACGGACGGTGAGCTTTACCTTTCGCGAGGCATCTTTGCGCGTTACGTCCTCGTTCGCTACTCTCTCTTCGACCTCTCTACGTCCGCCGTCGCACCTACTCTCTCTCTCGTCCCGCTGCTTCTCGCGCGCGCAAGCTTCGTTCGCGTCACAATCGTACGAGGGTGAGCCCGAGCTCACCGCCTCGCCGATCATCGAACTCGACGTGAATTTACTCCGCGTGATCTGCACACCGCGCGAGTCGATCGCTTGCAAAGCTGTGCTTGCATTGTTCGCTCGCGCTCGCCTCTCTGCCGTAGTCGGCTGCTCGATTTTCGTCAAGTCGCCGACTCGCGTTTCGCCTTGCTCATCCGCCTGTGTACAGTCGGGAGTTAGCCGTGCGGCCTCACTCGCTTCGTGTACCAGCAGCCCTTCGTCCTCTAGCGCTGTTGAAATTGGGACTGCGGAGGTGCTTGGCTGCTCTGCGCCTCCGCGTGCGCGGTTCCCAGCATCTGTCTGAGTGCAGTGCATCTCGGACACGTCAGGAAGGTCGCGTTTTCCATGCCGCAGAACTGACACTTCTCTGTCGGTGGACTTGCCGCCGGAGGAGGCATCGAGCACTCGCACGCTCGATGTCCGAACCCGTGGCATCGATAGCATTTTGTGCGCGGGCACCTGCTCGCTCTGTGTCCCGTCTCGCCGCATCCGTAGCAAGCCCCGACAAAGCCGCCAGCGGCGCCAGTCTGCTGCGACGGGGTCGTCTGCTGTGCCGCCGGTGCATCTGCGTTCGCGCTTGGTGTATTATTCGCGGTCGTGCTTGCATTCGCATTTGCATTCGCGTTCGCGTTTGGCTTATCGCTCGCGTTTTTCTTGCCACCGTTCGAGTTCTTCTTGCCCGAAGCGTTACTCGACGACGCGTTCGTGTTCGTCGACTCGACCGCCAGTGCGCCGACCTTCGCGCTCTTCGTCTCCGCGTGCGCGGCTCGATCTTTCACACTCTTGTCGATTTTCGCATCGAGTGCTCTTCCACGCTCATATCGCAGTCCGCGACTCTCGATCGCGTCGATCGAGTTCGGGCACTCCCCGCGTAAAAAATTTTCATATTGGCTGAATATTGCAAAAGTATTGTTAATTCGTATGGACAATCTATTGACAATTTATGTGCAATACTATTACAATATACCGCCAATACTACACTTGCCAATATGTTGGCCATTTACAACTTAAATGAAATTTTCTAAATATTGGACATGCATTGGCCATATGTATATACATTAACATTTCCCATATATGTGCCATGTATTCACCATACATTGAACAACGATTGCCAATATATAAATCAAAATGAGTTTTTTTCTAGCATTTATTAATTTTAAACAATAAATGTTGAGAAAACTTTCAATCTCAATGAAATAAATAATATTGTAAGTTAATTGCATTTCTTAGGTGGCATAACATAATAATCGCCAATATTAATCGTGAACAATAAATCATAAAACAAATTGTTAAAATCAATGAAGTGTAAATTTTAAGTTCGAGGGTGTCTCAAGGTACCAATCATCAGATTGATCACTGCTGTGAATTTAGAGGGCTCCAGCCCTGATGGGCACTTCTTATTCACGTAATCTGAAAAAATAAACAATTTATTACATGTAAGTACATGAAAAATAAATAAAAATACTGAAAGAAACTAAAACATACATTCAACTGCTGACACGATGTCCTCTGGAATACCAGGTTTTCCTGCGCCGGATCTTCCACGAGCACACATGTTTTTGAGGTTTTCTTCGCCTACAAGCTTCTTTAGTAGCCGACGCGTCATTTGCTTGGCATCACTCGACCACCTATTCATGACAGTGAGGAAGCCCTTGTCGATCCAGACATTAAAGTCGGAGCAAATCTGGACTCTACCATTGCCAGGAGAGCGGCAAACCACGAGAGGATCCTCGTCGAGAACACCGTTGCTAACCTATTAACGTAGACACAAAACATGATTTAAAATTACCGCGCCAAAAATAAAAAAGGGAGCGAATAGACAAAATTACTTACCCCAGGTCGGTTGCGCACTTCTCGATCTTCATGTTGACGTTCTGCGTCACGTTGCCTCTCTATTTCACGTTCACGTTCGGCTTCCTGTCGTCTCTCTATTTCACGTTGCCTTTCTAGCTCGCGTCGTCTCTCTACTTCGCGTCTTCTCTTTCCTCCCGTAAGCTGCTGCCTCTCCTCCTCGGACTCACTCGCGTCTGTGCCGTTCTTTCCGTAACCGAGGTTACTCTCCTCGCTGCTGCTGCTCTCTTTCCTTTTTGGCGCCTCGAGCTTTTCATCTCCATCCTCTTCTTCTCGGCGCCTCTCCTCCTCGGACTCACTCGCGTCTGTGCCGTTCTCTCCGTTACCCAGGTCACTTTCCTCGCTGCTGATACTCTCTTTCCTTTTTCGTGCCTCGAGCTCTTCATCTTCATCCTCTTCTTCTCGGCGCCTCTCGTCCTCGGACTCACTCGCGTCTCCGCCGCTTTCTGAGTTACCCAAATCACTTTCTTCGCTGCTGCTGCCGTCCTCGCTTTTCCTCGTTGCAAGCTCGTTTTTTTCGCGTTCTTTCTCTTTTTCGCGTTGTCTCTCCTCCTCGATTTTCCGCGCCTCGAGCTCTCTCTCTTCTCGTTGTCTCTCCTCTTCGATTTTCCGCGCCTCGAGCTCTCTCTCCTCTCGTTGTCTTTCCTCCTCGATTTTTCGCGCCTCGAGCTCTCTCTCTTCTCGTTGTCTCTCCTCCTCGATTTTTCGCGCCTCAAGCTCTCTCTCTTCTTCTCGTCGTCTCTGCTTCTCGATTTTCCGTGCTTCGACCTCTCTCTCTTCTTCTTGCCCTTTCTTTTTCTTCCTTTGTTGCGTTCCAAGATTTTTCTCTTTAAATCATTGTAAATAATTATAAATCACAATAAAATAAATATGTAATTATAAAAAGAAATTAATAATAATGAATTACGTTTGCTTTTCTGAGCAGCCAAATTTCCTCCTTCACGTCTATTCTTTTCCTCGACTCTCCTCTCCTTATCGTATTTTTTCTTCATATCGCAACCTTTCTCTTCTTCGCGTCGCAATTTCATGAATGTTTCCTCGTGAGATTGATCTTCATCTAATCGGCGTTTTCTTTCGAAAATCGAGGAGCTTTTAGCCAATTTAAAATTTTCCGAGGTGACAGTATTCGATCGCTCCATTTTTTGTTTTTTAAATTTTTCTTTAATGAGCTCTGCCTGTGCATTCAAAGCTGAACCGCGTGCTGTTTTTTTCGACGTAACCATTACATTGCCTTCGGAATCGATTTTCAACTTATCCAGATAATCCTTGTCGTCTGGAAATTACACATAAAATACAATTCAATTCGCGCATGTAATTATCGTGGTTTTCAATTATAATTATATTTAATGGTTCATGAAAATTTTAAACTTACGACTTTTTTTCACGACCTTTGCCTCGTATGTTTCGCCGTCCTTATACCGCACAGAATTAANGAAATTCAATGGAAAGTTGCGGCAACGTCGCTGCCACTTTCTGGGCTCTAACTGGTAGCGTTCTGGAAACGTACCTGCAACGTTACTATTCCACCAACCGGGACATTTTCCCGGTTGCCCTAACGTTGCGGCAACATTCCTACCACGAAATATGGAAAGTTCCAAGGTTCCAAAAACCAGGTTGCCGCAACGTTGCTGCAACTTTCCGTGCTATCAGGGAAGTAAGTTGTCGTTTTCTTCATTATAATAATTATTAAATTCAGTATAATAATGTAAATATAGTTTTCAACAATAATTGTTAATGTACAATGTAATATTTAATTAATATTATTTGAAACAGTTTTAAAATTGAATATTATTATACCATCAGTAAAATAACCGGGTCAGATTAAAGAATTTATATTAAGTATAGTTTACTTTGAGTAGTTGAACTCATTAGCGATTGTAAAAATCTTCGAGAAGTAATCGATTCTTGACGAATAGACTTGATGAATTCATAACCTCTGCAACGACGATATCTTAGGATGTCTATTCAATCACTGGGTAAAACATTGATTATGCCTATTTTACCCAGTGATTGAATGATTTTATGCACTAGCGTGTAATATAAATAAGTTCACTAATAAAAAAAATGGTTTTAATTAAAATAACAGGTGAATTCAGTAACTCATACAAAATACCAAAATAGCCACATTTTAGTCTAACATGCTCCTATTTCATTCACTAGGTGTACGAAAAATAAAAATGGACTTCCTAGAGGAGCTCTATGCGGAGATGTCGATGCGGCCATGGTGTGACGGGACATTTTTTGAGATTTTGCCTGAGGCATCGAGCGTACATCCACTCTGCGTCGCGGCGAAATGTCAAAACTGCTCGGCGGTCGTAAAATCCCGCAATGGAATGTCGATCGACTTCCTCAATCATTTTAAAAAAGTGAGTTGTTGAAAATATTTTATGCAATAGTATAGTGAAAAATCCCTTTTTACGCACACTTTTTTGTGAAATGTCATGCTTGTTATTTGGCACTTTTCGCATTCTATTGCATGAAATGTTGTATGCAACAAGTACCCAGCTTTTTGCGCACAGTGTGCGCAAAACAAGCCACTCGTGCCGGCGTAGGCAATATCCGTGCATACTCTGTGTGTAAAAACGCCTTTTGGACACTTGTTGCATTAATAACTATTAATGGAACCTGATTGATTAAAGTATTGCTTAATTTTTTTTATTTTGCAGCGTCATCCTGAAGTGCTCGACGAATACACGCGGTATCAGCAAGAGCAAAGACTGAATTACATGGCGCGACGTCGTATTATTCAACGTAATATTCAGCGAGGTTTCGCCAGAGCGGCGTAAAAATGTAATTGTTAAAAAAAAACTTGAAATTTACAATAAATTTACAAAAATTACATTTATCCTTGTTTTAGATTATGTATTATTATTTTTTTTAATTTTACAGATCTCAACAAATTTTTTTAGATATTCATCAGGATGTCCGTAATTTCCCAAAAATTATAATTCCTCGCTCCAGACCTTGATATCACATGTTAGTGGTATAAAAACATGTTTTGTACCGACAAATTATAGTTACAGGACAGGCCTTAAAATTAAAATTGATATTTACTTCAAACCCATTACCTCTCCAAATTTTGAAATTTTGCGTTTCTTTAAAGTGGGATTTTTACCATGTTTCGGGCTTCGGAAAACTTTGCGATTACATAATTTAGCTGATCGTAACTTTTCAACTATGAATTGGATTTCAAATCTAAGCCCGAATTTGGAATGTGCATTAAATTTTACCTTTAAAACATTGGAAAATCTGTTTGGATCGTACAGATATTAAGGTGATAAGCTTAGAGTCATTTCACTTAACAATCATCGTTCCCATGAAAAGAATATCAAAATTTGCTTTCGTTATAAAAACTGATTTCTCATAACCAATAAAGTCAACTTGGTGATTGTTTTTTGAAAGTATAAATGAACAGGTTCATATTTAAATTCCGTGGTTATAAATTTAATGGTCTGCCAATTTCTAATTACATTTATTCAATTGCGAATAATTCAAATAACAATTGAAATCTAATTGTTAATTGGATCAATCCACAATTAATAATTACTTTTCAATTGTTATTTGGATCAATCCACAATTAACAATTACATTTCAATGGTTAATTGGATCAATCCATAATTAACAAATACATTTCAATTGTTAATTGGATCAATCCACAATTAATAATTACATTTCAATTGTTAATTGGATTTATTCACAATTGACAATTAAAATGTAATTGTTTACTTGTCGAAAATTGAATTAAAATTTTTGCAACCCTGTATGGCACATATATGGGACATGTTAATGTATATACATATGGCCGATGCATGTCCAATATCTCAAAAATGTCATTTAAGTTGCGAATGGCCAACATATTGGCAAGTGTAGTATTGGCGGTATATTGTAATAATATTGCACATAAATTGTCAATAAATTGCCCATACGAATGAACAATACTTTTGCAATATTCCGCCAATATGAAATTTTTTTACGCGGGTCGTCATTGAGCACAAGCCGGTACGCCCCACGTAAATTTCGCCACACCATACGCGCCAGCTTCCTCTCGGTCGGCGGATCATCGAGCTGCATCACAAGGTGACGCACGAAGGTAAGATATTCCGAGATCGGCTCGTTCTTGCCTTGCACTCTGTGCTGCAGCTCGTCTATAATATCGTCCTCGTCACACGGGCCGATATACATATTTTTGAACGCGGTCTCGAAATCCGCGAAGGTGACAAAGCGTCGCTTATGCGTTCGGTACCATAGGTCCGAGTTGTCAGCCGAGCTGAACGCGAACGACATCACATCAAAAAATTCGGTGAGTGTCATCGGGACGCTGTCGCGAAATTCTTTCGCGCGCTCCAAAAATAACTGCGCCTTTGTTTTATCGCCGCTTTTAAAGTTCAGTTTGTAGCTCGCGAGGAGCCTCATGAACTTCTCGCGACGCGTCAATCCGTCCATCGTACGACCCGCGCGTGCACGGTTCGCCTTCTGCTCGGCCTCGCTCGCTTCGCTGCTGCTGGCCGAACTCTCGCGTAATGGCTTTGTTCGTTGCTTAGCCTTACGCTGCGGTTTTCTCGCGACGCGCTTCTCTTCCTCGCTGCTCGAGTCTCGCGGTTTTCGATTCACGTTCTTCTGCTTGGGCTCGCGAGGGTCGGCTCGCAGGCTCGACCTCTTCCGCGGCTTCTCGTCACCTCCGCGCTGCTCGTCGAAGGAACTCGCCGACAAGAGAGCCAGCTGTTCGCTCAGCTGCCGGATTTGCGCAGCCAATTCTGATCGACCGGTACTCCGAACAGGCGTGCTCGCGCGCGACGTACTTCTGCTCGTGCTCGACCGACGTGAGCTTTCACCCTCCGTCTCTTCCGCGATTGTACTCTCTTTAGGCCGGCTTTTCCTATGCCGACGTGAAGAATCGATCGGTGTCGGCGGCGGCGGCGGCGTCCAGCCTCTTGCCTGCAACGCGAGACGCGTGGACTCGTCAGGCTCCGTGTTAATCCACGAGCTCATAAACGGTCCGCCGTTAGGATTCGACGCGAGAGTATTCGCTGCCGCGCCGCTGCTCGTCAACGAGTTTACGGAACTCGTTGTGATCGTCGAGCCTGTCGCCGTGTTTGTCGACGTCGTGGCCGCGCCTGCCCCCGCGGGATCGCTTAGCTGTCCGCTATCGCGTGGCACAACGTAAAACATGACGTCGCCGTCGACCGCGGGAGTCCATGTCGCAGACTCATACCCCTGCAATCGGAGTTGCAAGCGCAGCAGACGGTTTCGCGCTTCCTTCTCCGACCCTTGCGTGCTAGCACCGCTCTTCGCTAACTCTCGGAGCACCGCGTCATCTTCCATCTCGACAATTCGATTGACCATGCTCTTCCAGTCGTCGGACCCGCGATCTATCTTACGCGCTGCACGCTCCAAACTTTGGATTTCGCTAGTCGTTGGCATGTTTTGAATTCAAGTTTGCGAGTCTGTCGAGACTCGCACCGACTTGTTTCGCGACGACTCCGATTCGACAATGCTTTGTTTACGTTCCGCGCAGGCAAGTCCGCGCGGACTTGTTTACGTTTTGTGTACGCGGGCGCAGGCCGTACGGGCCGTGCGCCGAAGCGTCGCCTCTCACGTACACAACTGTGTTCGCGTTCGCCGAAATCGACTCCGAATTCCGCGCTCACAATAGAACAACGTGTTCGAACTCGCGACTGCCTCGAACGTTCTATTTATGTTTTGTCGAGCTAATGGGCTTGGGCGCTTATCGCCGCATACCACCAATAGCTGACCTTCGATTCTCGCGAACAAGCGGTATTCGTGCAATTTATCGAATTCGTCTGAATATAACTGGAACGAACTCACCTTGTTGATGCGAGTTCCAACCTCCCCCACACCTAAGCTGTTGTACACCTCGGAGACGATGCTTGTTGCTACAAGCTGCCGATGTGCAGATGCTGGTCGTGACGCAGCAATCGGGTCGGTGTCGTTCTCGGTGATGCACTACACACGTCTGCGGGCCAACTTACACAGGCCTCGCAGCAGACGTTAAACACTCGGTTCGTAGACCTAGCAACACACGTTAGGGCGCCAGTTTATGACGGCGCATCCGCGCGGGCGACGTACGCCTCGCTTATCGCTCGGAGATGCGCCGCTATTTCGCTTTTCCGTCTCGGTGTGCTCGTCGGCTTTACCGCACGTGCGGAGCGCCAGACGACCGCGAGGTCGTCGCCGACGAGCGCCACAAATTCTCGCTCCTACCCGAGTACCTGGCCGGCTAGCCCCGGTACCCCGCGACTCGCTCAGGGCTCCGCGGATCCGATGCAGCGCTAGGTCTGCTCGTTCGCGCCGACGTCTCGCACCTATCTCCGCGTCCCGATATTTCTCGCGCCTAGCTCCGGCCGAATTCGCTCGCGTTCGCGAGGCCAAGAGGCCGGTCGTGCCGAAGCACGGGTCGCCTGAGGGCCTTGAGGCCGCGTCGCGCCGAACCCAGACGACGAGGTCAAATNCGATGGGAACTTTTATGATGACGAAGACGATGAAATTTCTAATCACAGTAATAGCGAACACTGTGAAAATATTTTTCCCGAAGCATCTGAAGCTGACGACGACGAAAAATTATACCATGGAGCTACTTGGACAGTGAAAGAATTTGTTTTGGCCGTTGGATTATTGAAATCAAGTTTGGGATTACCTGATACGCATTTGAGTCAA